TTCACAAGCCAGACAATGAAACACTACCAATACGAGCAGATACCAACAATTCTTTCTCACATTTTTGTAGTTTTACTTGTTTTGCTATTTAATTTAATTCAGATTGCTTTATTTAATGTTGCTTCAGTTTTTCTGAAAGGAAATTATAAAATTGAACGAAGTGATGTAATTCTTCTATTAATATGAAATTATTATGAAACAACAAACAAAAAAATATTACGGCTATGAGGTGAATGCCTGAGAGTGGCATGATCCAATTTCATTAAAATTTTCCCGCATTTTGTTTTTGTTCATAATATTAGTAGAAGGAGAGCCTAACTTCTGCATCCCGCGTTCTCGGGAAAAATCCTGAGATAGCAAATTTACAGATGTCTCGCATAAGTTGTAACACTTCAGAATTGTTACTTTACTGGAATACGATCCGGTAGTTCCGCGCCTACATTTTAAATTCTAAGCGCCTTTTTTTCCTGCCTCACCGGCAAACACCTGATTTGTTCTGACGTCCGCGCTACCAGGCTAAGAAAGTCGTAATTTAATTCGCTTTATTTAGTTGTTATTACCAATGTTTCAAATACACACTTCTTAATAAATGGTCTCCTTAAAACTATACCCTTCTATCAATGAAGAATTCGTTCGCGAAATAGATTCGTATCGCTAGTATCATTGGGCGTATGGCCTTATGCACCTAGTTCCGTGATTTCTCTCCGTTCCGGCATCTCTCTCGAATATCTGAGAAAGTAATCTATTTATCTTTCTCACTCCTGGCTCCGAACGACATGCGTGGTATGATATCGTTTTCCTGTTTCGGTAGAAGAACAGTGTGGTAGCTAGCCAAAAAGTGATTAACCTACCGGCTTTTTCTTCAGCCATCGCTTTGCGGATATAGGGTTAAATTCACTTAGATGTGTGGTCAGCGATTTGGTGATTCCGTTGCTGTTCATATTTTTGGTTCGTTCGCAGAACTGCCCACACTTACTCTGTAAGAGGATTTGACTGCTACCTGCTGCCTACCAAGCTTTAACCCTCAAGAACATCCATCGAGGGTAGTAGATGTATAGTGCCGATATAAGCAACAGAAACCGTACATAACCTCAATTTCCTAACCCCCCCGCAGCGGGGGCCCCCCGCGCGTGGCGTCCTAGTGTCCCCCCTGTCTACCAGAGTGCGCTCCGCCCCCCACCCAGCTTGTGTAGTGTCCTGTTTTGCCCCGGTTCCGCCCGTCGCTGCTAGATGTCGCGCGCTTGTGTAGCGTCCTGTTTTGCCCCGGTTCCGCCCGTCGCTGCTAGATGTCGCGCGCTCCGACCGTCGTAGGCCCCCCCGGTAGAGGGCGGTGACGGTGCGGCGCGGTGACGCGGTGGATCGGGAGGATAATTAAATAAACTTGAATTTTAATACATTTTATTTTATTTTATTTATAAAATTGGTCTGGCGAGGAGTTTCTTCTTCTTTTTATGTCGATTCAGTCGACCATCCCATTGTTCCTGTTCCTTGCGTTGTTCTTCTTCCCGTTCCCGGAGGAAATCTAAATACGAAGTGCACTCCTCGCCGTCCCACTCCGTCGACCACCCACCCGGGTACTCCTGCTGCTCTTCTTTTGATCCACCGGGTTGCTCCTGCTGCTGGTGATGTTCCCTTGTCGTTTCATGTCGTACCGGGAATTCTAACCCCCGGTACTCTTTGTGTGATTTGAATATGTGACGCCCTAAGCGATGCGCCAACATAATATGCGACTTGTCATACGGACAAACCGCGATTTTTTCTAGAACAAAACAAAGTATGATATGTAGCGTTTCCTATAAAACACACATTTTTTTTTTTTTAAACAAAACTTCCAAAAAGGGGGGTTATCAAATAATTTTAAAAATTGTTTTTTAAGTTATACGCGCATACCAAAATTCACGTTTCAATTCACTGTCATTTAAATGTACGTGTATTATTGTCAAAAGGGCAAACTGTAATTTTTTAGTACAAAAAATAAACAAAAATATGTATATATTTCGCGTTTTCCCCATAAAACGCACATTTTTGAAACAAAACTTTCAGTAAGTGGGGGTCATCAAATAATTTTTAAAAAATTGTTTATTTTTTAAAAGCCAAAATTCCCTATTCACTGTCATTTAAAAGATATTAAAAACGCTCAATTTAATTCGATTATTATTGTCAAAAAGGCAAACTGCAATTTTTTAGTACAAAAAATAAAACATATTTCGCGTTTTCCCCATAAAACGCACATTTTTGAAACAAATTTAAAAATTGTTTATTTTTTAAAAGCCAAAATTCCCTTTTCCATTCACTGTCATTTAAAAGCTATTAAAAACACTCAATTTAAATCGGTTATTATGCAACGTAAAAAAGATGAGTATCATATTTTAAAAACAGGTAGAAACTAACCAAAAAAGTGATAACCCAAACTGAAACCCACAAGAAAAGACGCGCACTGTATAAAGGTAATTAAAATATAAAACTTACCAGTTGTAGGGTCGTAGGGAAATGGACATCGCACTTCTGTATTCATTGCACTGAATATAGTCTATAATACACATGCAACGTATTTATACACATGCACTCCCTTCCATGGTTGAATTAAAAGTCGAAAAGGTCTTCTACCCACAAGTACCAACGCCGATTTGAATAGACGCGATGTTGTCGCCAGACAACCGTGCAGGTAGGAGTCTCAGGGTCAACACGCTTTCACACGGGAACGCAACCGCTTCGGACGTTGGACGAACGTATGTTGCCGCAAAAGATCAAGGCCAACTTGCTTTCATTTTTTACAATCTCCGTATGGGATGTGGAATTTCATAACGCGCCGAGTCTAAATGTCGAGTTGTTTTGCTTGTTGAGAATAATAATTAATTGCCCCCTTTATATTTGCTCCGTGGGATTAACGTAATGGGAAAAATTTGTTGCAACGCATGTGGAGGTGTCTTCGTTTGTTAACTTTTAGAAAGTATTCTCGCACCGTATAAATACATCTCATTTTTCTCTGTTTTGTCAGTAGTTGTTTTTGGTATTATTCGTGCAACGTGGAAGCTAACTTAGTGGTTTGGTGTTCGTACAAAAAAGCAGTAAGTACCTTTTTTATTGTCTTATTTTAATTCTTTAACATTTGTTATTATTTTATAAAGGTCCTAAAGATCATCTTAGTACTCTCAACCCGTAACCGCAAATAGAATAGCAGCAATCTTAAGCGTAAGTTTTTTTTATTTTTTTTATTTTGAGATAAAATAATTAATAATAATTTATAGATGGACTTAAGTCAACTGAATCAAACCTGTCTTGCAGAAGGTGATTTTGAGCAGCCGATTGTCAAACTGCATGAATTGCCGATAGGCGTTCCGTTTAAAATTACTAGAGCCAAAATTGTTAATACAAAATTTGGCAATTCCGTGTTGCTGCAATTAGAAAATTCCGTAGTATTTCTTCCTACTCGCGTGACAGAAGCTTTCCGTCCGAGACTAGAACACTTTGCGTCGGGGCAGTACAAACTGGTCTACGAGGGATCCAAAGATATTGGAAAGCCCAACTCTTTAAAGAAATTCAAAATAATTCAAAATTAATCAACATATTATACAGGGTAAGTCTTATTTACTGTTATATATTTAATAAACCACGATGCGCGTAAAGCAGATCATTCATAGAGCGCAAATCTTAATTTTAACCTTACAAAAATTAAAAAAGCATATTTCCGACAAGTTCACTCTTAGAGATAGTGATGTGTGGCTTAGGAGACTAAATAAAAATATTGAATCTTGCAACCAAATCGTTTCTAACGAAAAGGATTTATCTATTGGGTTAAAAAGAAAATTACAAACTACAATTCAACATCTGAAAGCTATTAGAAAAATTATTCTTAATTATCAACATAAGCATTTTGGATTGGGATTACAAAGTAGTAGCCGCGAGACAAACACAAATGAAATGGTTGTATGGGAATCGGTAGCGTCGTGTTTCCAGGGAAGAGTTCAGACTGGTGTCATAATTAATTTACTTCATAAAGATTTAATTCAATTTTTAAACGATTGTCGTCCAATATTTCAACAAAAAATTAGTCAAATTTTAAAGAAATTTTTATTGCTGAAAGTAAATACCACATTTTGCGGTGAATTTATTAAGGCAAAAAATGATGTCCAAGGCGAAGTTGATGTTAAATATCTGAGTACCGGAAATGCTGTAGTTGATTTAGGAACAGAATTGAATGATTGGTTTGTTGAAAATGTCCAAGATAAAATTTTAAATCAAATGTCAGAGTTTCAGGAACGTGATTCCGGGTGGGCTTTAAATAATATTATTTATTTAGAGATTAACATTAATAAATTTGAAATGGGTAACGGGTCATCCTTCGTTGAGTTGCCTAAAGAAATTGCGAATAAAAGGGCTTGTATTAACATTAGAAATGACGATCAAGCGTGTTTTTATTGGTCAGTTGTATGCGGACTCTTTCCAGCACGTTTTCGTCAGTATTTACCCTCTTCATATCCATACTACAAAAGTGTTTTGAAAACTGAAAATTTACAAACACCTATGGAAATGAATAAAATAAGCAAATTTGAAAAAGACAATGATATTTCCATCAATGTTTATATCTTAGAGCTTAATAAAAATGAAAAAACTAGTTTTTATTCCGTGTTACCTGCACGATTAACAAAAGAAAAACGCGAAAAACATTCAAATTTGTTGTTAATACAAAATAAATATTATCCAAAAGTTAATGATTTTGATCCTGATCCGCAAGATAATGATTATGAAGAAATAAAATATCACTATTGTTACATTAAAAATTTGTCTCGATTAGTTTCCTCACAGCTCAGTAAATATAATCACAAGAAATACATTTGCGATAGGTGTTTGAATTATTTCAATAACGAAACTCGTCTACATGACCACGAAACAATATGTTCCAGTTTCAATGAGTATAAAGTGTCTTTTCCCAAATATGATTACGTTGAATTTCGAAACCATATATATAAACAAAGGACTCCGTTTGTAATTTACGCCGATTTTGAGAGTCAATTGAGAAAAGTAAATTTGAAAATTTCAGATAAAACCTCGAAATACCAAAAGCACGAAGCTTACAGTGCTGCATATTACTTTAAATGTTCTTATGATGATTCAATATCATTTTTCAAAAGTTATCGTGGTCTAGATTGTATTGATTGGTTCGTGGAGGAAATATCTAATTTATCAAAATTTGTTCGTTCAAAATTTAAGGATATTATACCAATGGATAGTGAAATTAGTCTAGATCAAAGGTCGAGTCATTGTCATATTTGTGAAAAACCTTTTTTAAAAGAAGATGTTATTGTTCGTGACCATGATCATTTTACTGGTAAATTTAGAGGTTTTGCCCATCAGGCTTGTAATTTAAATTTTAAAAAAATATTTGTAGTGCCCGTAGTATTCCAGAACCTTTCTGGATACGATAGCCACTTCCTGCTTCCGGTTTTAGCAAAAAAAAGCTATGTATCCATAGTTCCGGTTAATAAGGAAAAATACATCTCTTTTACATATTTCGAACCTGATTATAACATAAAATTTAGATTTATAGATTCGTTTAGATTTTTGGGAGCATCTCTGGATAATTTAGTTTCCAGTATGGATAAAAATGAACTATATATTTTAAGAAAAGAATTTTCCGATCTCGACGAATCAAAATTAAATTTACTGTCGCAAAAAGGTATTTTTTGTTACGATTACATCGACCATATAGACAAATTAAATGAAACAACTTTACCCCCGATTGAAGAATTCTATAATAAATTAAGTGAAAGCAATATTAGTGAAGAAAAATATTCCCACGCACAAAGTGTTTGGCAGTCGTTTGAAATAAAAAATTTAGGCGAGTATTCAGATTTGTATTTAAAAACCGACGTTATTCTTCTGGCAGATATATTCGAAAATTTTCGAAAAACTTGTATGGCAACACACGTTTTGGATCCGGCGTGGTATTTCAGTATGCCCGGGTATACATGGGATTGCATGCTTAGATTCACAAAATGTCGTTTAGAACTTTTGCGCGACATTGACCAAATTATGTTTATCGAGCGGGCTATACGAGGTGGAATTTCGGTGTGTGTTGGTAGATATGCGGAGGCCAACAATAAATATATGCCCAACTACGATTCATCCAGGGATGATTCCTATATCATGTACTTTGACGTCAATAACCTCTATGGCAAGGCCATGTGCGAGCCTCTTCCTTACGGAGGATTCGACTGGATGTCTCATCAAGAGATTGATTCATTTAATGTCATGAACATTCCAGATGAATCTTCCCAAGGATATATCCTAGAGGTAGACCTGGAATACCCGCAGAAATTACATGACACACATAGAGATTTTCCATTTTGTGCCGAACATCGAGTGCCCCCCAATTCAAAGTTACCAAAACTAATGACTACTTTGTATAATAAAGAAAAATACGTCATACACTATCGCAATTTAAAACAGGCTCTCAAAAACGGTCTCGTACTAAAGAAAATTCACAAAATATTAAAATTTAACCAATCTCGTTGGTTGAAATGTTATATCGATCATAATAATAAATTAAGAACCCAAGCAAAGACAAAATTTGGTATAAATTTATACAAATTGTTTAATAATGCCGCTTACGGTAAAACAATGGAAAACATTCGCAAGCATCGTATTGTTAAATTTGTTAAAGCGTGGGATGGTCGCTACGGTGCGAAAAATTTAATTTCTAGTCCTAGATTTCACAGTAGAACCATACTTGATAACAATTTGTTGCTTATAGAATTAAAAAAATCGGAACTTTGCTTTAATAAGCCACTTTATATTGGAATGTCCATATTGGATTTGTCGAAAACGACCATGTACGAGTTTCATTATAATTACATGCTTCCAAATTTGGGTCCCGAAAAATGTAAAATTCAATACATGGATACGGACAGTTTCATTTATAATATCAAATGTTATGACGCATATGAAAGCGTTATTAAGGCCGATTTAACAAAATTTGACACGTCTGATTATCCTAATGACAATCCCTATAATATACCGCAAATCAACAAAAAGGTTTTGGGGTTGATGAAGGATGAGACTAATGGCACCATCATTAGTCATTATGCGGGGTTAAGGTCGAAAATGTATACTTTCAAAATTTTAACGGGTTCGGTAGTTAAAAAGTCAAAGGGTATTCAGTACAATATTGTAAAAAATAAAATTTCATTTGATGACTACGTAGAATGCTTAACAAATTTTAGGGAAAAGTACGCCACTCAACGAACCATTCGTTCATACACTCACAATGTATTTAGCATCGAACAAACAAAAGTTGCCTTGAGTCCTTTAGACGATAAACGTTATCTTTTGCCGAATTCATATGAAACGCTTCCGTGGGGACATTATAAAGTGCCGTAATTATTTTTTAATATATTTTTGTTACAGATTATGGTCAAACAACTTACATTAGAAAGCCTTTGTATTATAACAATTTGCGAAAATATTAGGTGTAGTGCTGATTTTTTGCTTGAGTCACCTTTGCCTTGGAAACTAACGATACTAATATTTAAATATTATTCGAAATATAGATGGAAGTACCTTAAACAATTAGCGCTCCAGTCTGATGGTAATTCTTTATTAAATTTAGAATTCATTCTGTTGAATAAGACATTTGGATCGTCTTACAGAAATAGCATTTTGGCAACTCCAACCATTGATTTTGACGGAGAATCCGCTTACTGTTTATGGGTCAGTTATTACAGGATAAAATATTCGGAAATTTTAGTTTGTAAATCTTGTCACTTTATATTTCAAGTAGTTAAAAATTTTAAAAAGAAAAATTTTAGACTTTTATTGGATCACTATCATTTACAGCTGGATATAAATAATTTGAATGATGTATATCACGATAAACAATTTTGGTGTCAAAGCTGCTTTGAAGAAGTTTTGTTCACTGTAGAAACTGAAGATGAATGTAATTTAATGCTTCACGATGAGAGGAAATATGGAAAAAAGTTACGCTTTTCTGATAGTCCATTGAACTATTAATACTGTGGTTTTATTATAACATATGTAACTGTAGATAAGACTTTTATGTATTGATTGTATTCCATTGTATTGCAACAAGAATAAACATGTATATATTTAGACGCTATTTTCTTTTTTACCACCACCACAACACCGCATAATAATTACACAGAAGTTTGTAATTGTATAATTTATTTATTATATACATTATTACTATTTTACAATTTCGTTAAATGCTAAATTATTAAATTGTTCTAGTTTTCTTTTGCACTCTTGAGCTTGCATCCGCGCCACTTGCAAGTCTGTATTAAAAAGCGCAATTTGTGTTTCAATTTCGTTGATATTGCACTCTAATCCCGACAACTGAGACGCCAAGTTTCTTTTTAAATTGAATGCCTCACAAATGACACTTTTTTCTCTACCGTCCGTGAACACTTCGAGCCAATCAGCGGATGACGTTGGAGCTGCAAACGCTTCACTTGTGGTAGTTTTCTTCTTCTTCTTGCGGGATACGACCGACGCACTTTGTTTTCGTTTGGTCGCAGATTTTTTGGTTTGTTGCTCTACAGGAACGAAGCTGGACGGGAGCACTTCTGATGAAGGAAATTGCAACTCGAAATTTTCCAATAAATTATACAATTCGTTGGATGTCACAATTTTCTCTTGAGCCATCATATACACGTATTTATGTCAGAACTTCTAAATCGAGACTAAATTTATTTCAAAACGTCTACGTTGTCTACCCACGAATCGTGCGACTTATCCAATCCCAACCAGCGCACGAGAACCATATTGCCTCGTCTGCGCAACACCTTTTCGACGAGATATAAGTCCGGGTTAACTGTCTTCTGCAATTCTTCTTCATAAAATCCGCCCATTATGGGTTTACCCTGCATATCTTGAAGCAAATACGTTACGGGGTTAGTAACCCGTACTTTAACAATTTTAAACAATTCCGTGGTCCAATTCGGTGTATAACCTTTGTTGAAAACGTGCTTGACTTTGCTGATTCTAACGATGTCGCCGACTTTAAGTTTACGAGGACCGAATATTTTTATGCTACTATACGCGGTTTTCAAAATTCTCTTTTCGTTGCTCTTACTCACATCGATGGGTTTCGTACCCGTCGTTCTATGTTTTGTGTTCAACTCCAACCATTGATTTTGACGGAGAATCCGCTTACTGTTTATGGGTCAGTTATTACAGGATAAAATATTCGGAAATTTTAGTTTGTAAATCTTGTCACTTTATATTTCAACTAGTTAAAAAATTTAAAAAGAAAAATTTTAGACTTTTATTGGATCACTATCATTTACAGCTGGATATAAATAATTTGAATGATGTATATCACGATAAACAATTTTGGTGTCAAAGCTGCTTTGAAGAAGTTTTGTTCACTGTAGAAACTGAAGATGAATGTAATTTAATGCTTCACGATGAGAGGAAATATGGAAAAAAGTTACGCTTTTCTGATAGTCCATTGAACTATTAATACTGTGGTTTTATTATAACATATGTAACTGTAGATAAGACTTTTATGTATTGATTGTATTCCATTGTATTGCAACAAGAATAAACATGTATATATTTAGACGCTATTTTCTTTTTTACCACCACCACAACACCGCATAATAATTACACAGAAGTTTGTAATTGTATAATTTATTTATTATATACATTATTACTATTTTACAATTTCGTTAAATGCTAAATTATTAAATTGTTCTAGTTTTCTTTTGCACTCTTGAGCTTGCATCCGCGCCACTTGCAAGTCTGTATTAAAAAGCGCAATTATGCGGGGTTAAGGTCGAAAATGTATACTTTCAAAATTTTAACGGGTTCGGTAGTTAAAAAGTCAAAGGGTATTCAGTACAATATTGTAAAAAATAAAATTTCATTTGATGACTACGTAGAATGCTTAACAAATTTTAGGGAAAAGTACGCCACTCAACGAACCATTCGTTCATACACTCACAATGTATTTAGCATCGAACAAACAAAAGTTGCCTTGAGTCCTTTAGACGATAAACGTTATCTTTTGCCGAATTCATATGAAACGCTTCCGTGGGGACATTATAAAGTGCCGTAATTATTTTTTAATATATTTTTGTTACAGATTATGGTCAAACAACTTACATTAGAAAGCCTTTGTATTATAACAATTTGCGAAAATATTAGGTGTAGTGCTGATTTTTTGCTTGAGTCACCTTTGCCTTGGAAACTAACGATACTAATATTTAAATATTATTCGAAATATAGATGGAAGTACCTTAAACAATTAGCGCTCCAGTCTGATGGCAATTCTTTATTAAATTTAGAATTCATTCTGTTGAATAAGAGATTTGGATCGTCTTACAGAAATAGCATTTTGGCAACTCCAACCATTGATTTTGACGGAGAATCCGCTTACTGTTTATGGGTCAGTTATTACAGGATAAAATATTCGGAAATTTTAGTTTGTAAATCTTGTCACTTTATATTTCAAGTAGTTAAAAAATTTAAAAAGAAAAATAATCAGCACTACACCTAATATTTTCGCAAATTGTTATAATACAAAGGCTTTCTAATGTAAGTTGTTTGACCATAATCTGTAACAAAAATATATTAAAAAATAATTACGGCACTTTATAATGTCCCCACGGAAGCGTTTCATATGAATTCGGCAAAAGATAACGTTTATCGTCTAAAGGACTCAAGGCAACTTTTGTTTGTTCGATGCTAAATACATTGTGAGTGTATGAACGAATGGTTCGTTGAGTGGCGTACTTTTCCCTAAAATTTGTTAAGCATTCTACGTAGTCATCAAATGAAATTTTATTTTTTACAATATTGTACTGAATACCCTTTGACTTTTTAACTACCGAACCCGTTAAAATTTTGAAAGTATACATTTTCGACCTTAACCCCGCATAATGACTAATGATGGTGCCATTAGTCTCATCCTTCATCAACCCCAAAACCTTTTTGTTGATTTGCGGTATATTATAGGGATTGTCATTAGGATAATCAGACGTGTCAAATTTTGTTAAATCGGCCTTAATAACGCTTTCATATGCGTCATAACATTTGATATTATAAATGAAACTGTCCGTATCCATGTATTGAATTTTACATTTTTCGGGACCCAAATTTGGAAGCATGTAATTATAATGAAACTCGTACATGGTCGTTTTCGACAAATCCAATATGGACATTCCAATATAAAGTGGCTTATTAAAGCAAAGTTCCGATTTTTTTAATTCTATAAGCAACAAATTGTTATCAAGTATGGTTCTACTGTGAAATCTAGGACTAGAAATTAAATTTTTCGCACCGTAGCGACCATCCCACGCTTTAACAAATTTAACAATACGATGCTTGCGAATGTTTTCCATTGTTTTACCGTAAGCGGCATTATTAAACAATTTGTATAAATTTATACCAAATTTTGTCTTTGCTTGGGTTCTTAATTTATTATTATGATCGATATAACATTTCAACCAACGAGATTGGTTAAATTTTAATATTTTGTGAATTTTCTTTAGTACGAGACCGTTTTTGAGAGCCTGTTTTAAATTGCGATAGTGTATGACGTATTTTTCTTTATTATACAAAGTAGTCATTAGTTTTGGTAACTTTGAATTGGGGGGCACTCGATGTTCGGCACAAAATGGAAAATCTCTATGTGTGTCATGTAATTTCTGCGGGTATTCCAGGTCTACCTCTAGGATATATCCTTGGGAAGATTCATCTGGAATGTTCATGACATTAAATGAATCAATCTCTTGATGAGACATCCAGTCGAATCCTCCGTAAGGAAGAGGCTCGCACATGGCCTTGCCATAGAGGTTATTGACGTCAAAGTACATGATATAGGAATCATCCCTGGATGAATCGTAGTTGGGCATATATTTATTGTTGGCCTCCGCATATCTACCAACACACACCGAAATTCCACCTCGTATAGCCCGCTCGATAAACATAATTTGGTCAATGTCGCGCAAAAGTTCTAAACGACATTTTGTGAATCTAAGCATGCAATCCCATGTATACCCGGGCATACTGAAATACCACGCCGGATCCAAAACGTGTGTTGCCATACAAGTTTTTCGAAAATTTTCGAATATATC